ACTTATTGGTGCTCTTGTACCTACATTCTAACAAATAAGGCAAGCGATTATGACGCACCATAAAGTTGGAGAAAACTGCTCTCTATTGGGTTCTCCATGGTACCTGGCAATCCTCTGGCTACCTAACTATGACCCTCTCTCTTGTGTATACCGTGGGTATTTTGCTTTCTCACATTCCTCAAATTGCCAAGAGTACCAATCACAATCCCTCTAACTCATACTCTGATTTTGCAGAAAAAAAAAATCAAAGAAAAAAGCCCCACGAATCTCCATGCCGTAAATACATTGTACTCGTGCCTATTTTAAATTCTTTCCCCACTACAAACATGGAAGATACATAGTTTTTCTTTCTAAAGCTAATCGTGCCATTGAAGCTTCTTTCTCACCTTCTCCTGCCCTTCTAACCACTTCATCGGATCCATTACCATGTCTCTCGTTATCTGCAGACTTAGTTCTATCAACATTTAAACATGTATACAAGCTTCTCTCATCTTCAAAAGAATTCTCCCTTAATTTCATGAACCAAACACCTCTAGCCACTGCATTTTTTCATTCCCTTTTCTCCGCAAAACTTCTTAAAGATGTTTACACTTACTTCCCAATTGCATTCCGTTCCTGCCCCACTATTGGATTAGGACCCCACTATTTCATTGAGACTGTCCTCACTTAAGTAACAGAAGATTTCTTTGTTGTTAAATTTGGTGGATACTGGATCTTACATTACTTGACTTCTCAGTTCCATTTGACACTATTGTCCATTCTTTTTAATTGTCCATTTTTTTTTTCCTAAAAGAAACAAAAAACCAAAAACCTTTTTTCTTTCGGCTTTCTTGATACCTATGTACCTTAGAACCTACATATTCAAAATTAACTTGCTAATTTCTGCTTAACCTCCTTCCCAGGTGAACGGCATCATCTGCAAGTTGCCCAAGCCAGAAACATAGAAGAGTTATCTTTGATTCTTTGCTCCTCTCACTTGTTAACTACCTCCTAAATGTTTCATAGCTGGATTGCTACAACAGCCTCCTACTTCCTGCCCTTTCTCCAGTTTTGCTCTCATCCAATCCAGAGCAATACTCTGGAGGGAAAGATCACAGTTATACTGGCCACTAGATTCTAAATATTTGCTACAGGTACTTTGAAATTAGGCACCAAGCTTCCTGACAAACAAGGCAAAATTGAAGGAAAAGTAATCCTCATACTTCTTAGTGCTTGTTCTAATTCTAACACTCTAAACCAAATTTCTCAGAAGGAGATTTATAAAGGAAGCAGTAAATGATGTAATGAACAATGCCTCAACAACGTTCCTATGATATATCCTATAATTTTATTTGGCAAATATTTATGGAGTACTTCCTACAAGCCAGGCACCATGCTCACCACTGGGGATAAAATACTGAATGTGGTTGTTTCTTATCTAATCTCATTATTTAAACCAAGTTTTTGCATAATATTAAATGCGATCCTCTGAAGACAATTTGGCTGGGAAAGGACTTATTTCCCCAAACCAGGGTCAAAATAACAGCTACTCAGTGTTCCTCTGCTTCCTCCAACCACCCTAACCACCCCCACCCACGTGGTCCTGCCCTGGGTCAGGACTTCCTGCCCTGCCTCTCTTATTAAGATGGAATCTCACTCTGTCGCCCAGGCTGGGGTGCAGTGGTACAATCTCAACTCACTGCAACCTTCGCCCCTTGGGTTCGAGTGATTCTCCTGCCTCAGCCTCTCAAGTAGCTGGGATTACAGATGTGTGCCACCACACCCAGCTAATTTTTGTATTTTTGGTAGAGACAGGGTTTCATCATGTTGCCCAGGCTGGTTTCAAACTCCTGACCTCAGGCGATCTGCCGGCCTCAGCCTCCCAAAATGCTGGGATTTCAGGTTCGAGCCACTGTGCCCCACCCAGCCTCTTTTAAATTGCAGTTCACTACCACTACTATCACACACAAAATATGCCTGGACTCCCCACGGTTTGTCTCACATGTGTTCAACAGTGCTTTTAACCACCACATGAAATCTGCCATTTTCTACCCTCACTTACTCTGCTTTATTTTGGAGATCTGCCCCACATTCCCCACAACACGTGAGCCCCAACAGGACCACTGCTATAAAGATAGCACAATTTATAAACAAAAGAGTAAATTTACTCACAGTTACGCGTGGCTGGGGAGCGGGGAGGCCTCAGGGAACTTACAGTCATGATGGAAGGGGAAGCAGGCACCTTTTTCACAAGGTGGCAGAAGAGAGAGAAGGAGGAGGAATTTCCAAACAAACATTTATAAAACCATCAGATCTCGTGTGAACTCATTCACAGTCATGAGAACAGTATGGGGGAAACTGCCCCCATGATTCAATCACCTCCCTCCCTTGACACATGGGGATTACAGGTCCCTCCCTCAACATGTGGGAATTATAATTCCAGATGAAATTTGGGTGGGGACCCACAGCCAAGCCATATCCATTGCTGTTGTTCATGCAGGCTAAAAGTATTGCTTATGACGACTGCCAAGTCTGTGCTGAGGCTGCCAGAGTGGAGGATGGGGACTCAGGTTGCTTTGTCCACGACTGCAGAAGGTATTGGCACCCAGATGCCAATATTACATTGCCCTGAAGCCGCTCCGATGGACTAAAACTACCAAGGCTGCTGGAGGGCCCTTAGACACTAAAACTGTACCATGTTTTTGCTGAGCGTTTGAGAATAGTTCTCAACCATTGGGGTGACATTTCGTTACGGTTTCCAAAGCAATGCTGTCTGGTTCTCCTGCTGCCCTATTGAGACTAAAGTAAAACAGTGTCTTGGTCTGCTTGGGCTGCCGTTAAAAAATACTATAGGCTGCATGCCAAAAACAACAGAAATATTGCTCACATTGCTGGAAGCTGGAAGTCCAAGGTCAGGGTGCCAGCGTTGCCAGGATCTGGTGAGGCTCCTGATTTGCAGATAGGTTGCCCATCTTCTCACTGTGTGCTCACATGGCCTTTCCTCAGTGCATGGGTGTGGAGAGAGAGATCCTTCTTTCTATTCTTATAAAGCCACCCATCCTACTGGATTAGGACCTCACACTTACGTCTTGACTTAACCAAAATTGTTACTGGAAAGGGGTCCTGATCCAGCCTCCAAGAGAGGGTTCTTGAATCTCAGGCAAGAAAGAATTCTAGATGAGTCCGTAGAATAAAGTGAAGTTTATCAGAGAAAGAGAAAAACAAAAGAATGGTTACTCCATAGACAGAGCAGGGGCACGGGCTGCTCAGCTGAATATACTTAGGGTTATTTCTTAATTACATGCCTAACAAGGGGTGGATTATTCATGAATTTTCTGGGAAAGGAGTGGGACTTCCTGGAGCTGAGGGTTCCTCCCCACTTCAGACCATATAGGGTAACTGCTGACCACGGCATTCATAAACTGTTATGGCGCTGATGGGAGTGTCCTTTGGCATGCTAATGAATTACAATTAACATACTATTAGCAGTGAGCTTGACCAGAGGTCACTTTCATAAAATCTTGCACTTGGTGGGTTTTGGTCAGCTTCTTGATCACATCCTGTTTTATCGGCAGGGTCTTTTTGACCGGTATTTTGTGATACCAATCCTGCTGACCTCCCACCTCATCCTGTGACTGAGAATGCCTAACCTCCTGGGAATGCAGCCCAGGAGGTCTCAGCCTCATTTTACCCAGCCCCTATTCAAGATGGAGTCACTCTGGTTCAAATGCCTCTGACAAAATCACCTTCTAAAAGTCCTATGTCCAAATACAGTCATTTAGTGGGTATGAATTTGGGAGAGACACAGCTCGGTCCATAGCAAATAGTATTCAATTTTTAATCACATCAGGACACACAGTAAGACTCTGAAAAGTGAGTCCATTGGCTGGGCTAGGGAGAAAATTGTGACAATGTGTAGTGTTCCAGAATGATCCTCCCCGCACCAGGGAGCACTCAGAACCTTCCAGCTTGGTGAACAGAATCTGCTCTCAGGCTAGGAGCCATGCTCTCTAAGTATGTTGTCTTTACATCTGGGCCAGCTTGATCCAAGGATAGGATTTAGAAAGATTAAAGGGTTAGGTGGTATACATGGACGCTCCTTCACAAAGGTGTCTCCTCTCCATTTGGCCTTCACCTTGAAATAGACAGATAATATGTTCCAGATTGTGACCTGTTGCAAAAATCACGGAACACAGGCTTGGGATACCTGTATATTCAACAGAAATCAGTCTAGCAGGTGGTAAGGCTGGCATTTTTCTGTGTTCTTAAGTTCTTAGTGACTGGGACAACACCCACAGGCAAGGCCTGGCTTTTTCCACAAGAAATATTCTGGATATAAGTAAACACAGCAGTGAGCTGAAAATTCTACATGATTACAACGACTTAAGCTTGAGAATTTTTTTTTTTTTTTGAACAGAGAAGAAGAGCCGGGCGCGGTGGCCCAGCACTTTGGGAGGCTGAGGCGGGCGGATCACCTGAGGTTAGGAGTTCAAGACCAGCCTGACCAATTGGGTGAAACCCCGTCTTTAAAATAAAAAATAAATATTAAAAATAAAAGAAAAACAGAGAAGGGAGTAGTAAATGGCTAAATATAAAGTACCTAGTGCTGTGTTTCGCAAACGGTAATCACTCGGCAGGTGTCTCGGCTCCTAGCTCCAGCAAGCAGGCTTCCAGGACTTGAAAGAAGTCTACATTCAAAACTATTTCCCTCCACCACCCAATCGGACTCCTGTGCTTGCGTTTCTCCCTACCCCTGCCCGGCCAACTCTAGGCTCACAGATCCACTCCCACTCCACCATCTCACCAGGCATTTCCGTGGGCCGCCCACGCCTGGAAACCGGCGGGCTGGCCCGAGGGGCGAGGCCTGCTGCCGAGCGGGGCGGGTACAAGCCACGGCTTGGGCGCCCCGGAGCGGCGCAGCCTTGTGGGAACTGTAGTTCTCGCCACTCTGAGTCTCCAGGCGCGGCGTCACCGCAGGACTCGTTTTCCCGTGCTCCTGTGCGCGGGTCCACTTGGGACAGGTCCCTGGGTAGGTAAGGAGGTGGGTGGGAGCTTGCCTACAGAAAAGTGGGATCGAGCCGTCTGTGTTCGTGGAGCCGCCGCCGCGAGGAACTGAGGGCCGGCTCCGGTCGGCTCAACAGTGCTGGGGGCCAAACTTGAAATTCAAGTTTAAGGTGCCCCATCGGGCGAAAGATAAGATTCAGATCTCCCCCGGCCCGGTGTGCAGCAGGAGCGACCAACCCCGACCCGGGCGAAAGCGGGGACCCGTCGCTGCCGCCACCTCGTGTTCTCTCCCCACGTTCCCACTCGGGGTCTCCCTCAGGGCTGGGAGTCACAGTAGTCCCCGCTCCTCGAGGGGCCGGATGTGCGCACCGGCAGGTTGCCGCTGAGCCCCGGCGCCCGCGGAGGTCTTGCGTTCGCCTCCTGCAGCCTCCACCCGGGAGCGCGGCGCGGGGCGAGCCGCCGCCATGATCACCGGCGTCTTCAGCGTGCGCGTGTGGACCCCGGTGGGCGTCCTGGCCTCGCTGGCCTACTGCCTGCAGCAGCGGCGGGTGGCCCTGGCCGAGCTGCAGGGGGCCGACGGCCAGCGTCCCGTCGACCGCAGCCTGCTGAAGCTGAAAATGGTGCAGGTCGTGTTTCGACACGGGGCGCGGAGTCCTCTCAAGCCGCTCCCGCTGGAGGAGCAGGTGAGAGGTCGGCCATGGCCGGGGCTGCTGGGGCCGGGACTGTCCTGGTCAGGCGTCTCGCCCCAACACACGTCTTCAGAGCTTCACGGGCGCGGAGTGGGACGAGGGTTGGGTCCAGACGAAGGGAAAACAGCCGTAGCCAGTGCCTCCCCCGGCTCTGGAGCAAAGCCCGGAACTTGAGTTTTGCCCCGATGGCGCCGCCGGGAGTAGTGAGAGCTTAAGGCGCAGGGGAGTCGCCTGGGGATCTTGTTCCGTCGCGGATTCTGATGGAGCAGGTGTGGAGTCGCGCCTGAGGTCAGCACTTCTGTTAACTGGGTGGACTTTAGTGCCACGCTGCAGTGCGCTTCTGTGTGGCCATTCCGAAGGTGGTTTCTCAGAGCTGAAGGGACTTCAGTGACAGGAGCCACTCTTAACTGAGATCACAGTGGTTAAGAGGTCGATGCTTTTGGAAGCAAACTTGAAAACAGCTCGTTCTCAGGGTTTGCTCGAGGCCATTTGAGATCTCTTGAAGTGTGTGTGTGTGTGTGTGTGTGTGTGTGTAATGTTGTATTCTTGAGGGTTCTCCTGTGCTATTTCACTTTACTAATCCTATAGTGGAAGGGATCTGAGGTCGGAAAAAATTAAAAATGGTCTAGTTTGTGGCTGTAATGTCTTAAAATCTGTCTGGTTTTGTCAGGATAATTATGACTCATGTGCCGATAGTTTTTTTTTTTTTTTTTTTAATGATTATCTTTCCTGGATGTGGCTTTTCATAACAGAAAGGCCTGGTGAAGAGGAACAAGCCACCTGAAATCCCCAGACCCCTGGTGTCACACCTGTGGAGTGCTTTTGTGTCATTGGTCTTCCAGGTTGATGTTAGAGCAGGTCAAACAGATTGTCCAAAATTGAAGTTAGGTGTACTCTTCATAATCACAGTGGCTTTCTAGAACCCTTCAGGATTGTGTCTTTACATTGTACAACTGGACATTTTTCAAAGTTGGCTGCAATGAAATTAAACTTCTAAAGCATTTTCCACATTAATAAATACATTTGGAAGGCACTTAATTCTATCACCAGGTTTCTTGTTAGCCTTTCTCTGGCTATCCCACTTGCTCTCTGGTACTGGGATTTCTTGTTTCATTTTGATTCTTTGATCTTTTTCAGCCTCTTACTTTGCCTTTTTATATTAGATCACTAAATTTTCCTTATAATTTTGTACACATCCCATCCCTGATGCTCCCCTCCCCCCAATTCTTCTCTATTTATTCTTGGTACAGAGGGCTGGGGAATCATATATAGGAATATATATTATATTCACATAGAAGACAAAGTTATCAGCAGCTTTGGAGAGTAAAACTTGGCATGTATAGGCCTAGACCTGGTATGTACCAGACGTATACACCCTGAAGGCCCTAGGAAAAGATTTAGATTCTTTTAGAGGTTTATTCCTAAAGGAGAGAGGGTGTCGTGATGGGTATCTTCTGCCTTTATGGTTGAAGGGGCCACTGTAGCTTAGAATACCAGCTTCATTCATTTTCAGTCTGCGTAGCCACAAAATAGCATCCGAATCCATGGCCTGACGTTGTAATTACAGAAGGCATATTATCTCTCCTCTCTGCTCATATTCTCCAGACTTTAGGCAGATGCCTTAAACATCTTTGGTTATTTAGTATAAAGTCTTGTGCATAAAAGTCAGGGGTGACCAACTCTCAGTTTAGACTATGAACAAATATTAGCCTCTTAAAACTTGTTTCTGGATATTCTCTGTCAGGTATTCATTTCAAGATTCAGCTTTTGGGGAATAATCTAAATGTGATTTTTTTTTTTTTTTTAACAGAGTCTCGCTGTGTTTCCAGGTTGGAGTGCAATGGCCTATCTTTGCTCACTGCAACCTCCGCCTCCTGGGTTCAAGCAATTCTCTTGCCTCAGCCTCCCAAGTAGCTGGGACTACAGGTGTGCGCCACCACGCCCAGCTAATTTTTGTATTTTTAGAAGAGGCGGGTTTCACCATGTTGGTCAGGATGATTTCAATCTCTTGATCTTGTGATCCACCTGCCTCAGCCTCCAAAGGGCTGGGATCCAGCCATTATTGGGATTTTTTAATCTTCTTGGTTCTGCTATTAATTATAGTCAGAAGGTACTGCCTGGCAACAATATGTTTGTCTTTGGTACATGTTTCCTGATTTCTGACTGGTTTATAGATTGATGTATGTGACAAGTCACTTCATTCAGCTATCTCACAAATTCTCAGAAAGTAGCATGGTTTAAAACTAGATGTTTTGGCCGGGTGCAGTGGCTCACACCTGTAATCCCAGCACTTTGAGAGGCCAAGGCAGGTGGATCACGAGGTCAGGAGTTCGAGACCAGCCTTACCAAGATGGTGAAACCCTGTCTCTACCAAAATTAGCCGGGTGTGGTGGTGGGTGCCTGTAATCCCAGCTACTCAGGAGGCTGAGGCAGGAGAATCACTTGAACCCAGGAGGCAGAGGTTGCAGTGAGCCAAGGCGAGATCGCACCAAGGCGAGATCGCACCACTGCACGAGACTCCATCTGAAAAAAAAAAAAACCAGTAACAACAAAACCCCCCAAAATTAGATGTTTTATTGGGTTGTTGTCTTATGGCTTGAATGGCTGTTGGTTTAACCTGTTTTGTTAAAAGATTGTGCTTCGAAAATAAAAATATGGAACTTGATTGACCATTTTTTTTTTTTTTCCTGATCATTAGACTAGGTCCAAATGCATTATCAAAAGAAAAGATTTGGCACTGCTTTCAGGCTTCCCTCAACTCCCCTGGGTGGCAAGATGGCCTCCACCCAGGGAGGTTTCTCTGTTTTTATAAAGTCCAACCTACCTAGCTTCACTGTTGATTAAGACATTTGGGTCATTATTTATTTGATAATATAGATGAGCTGGGAAACATAATGTCAGTATCTTTCATTGCTTAGTACCTTTCCAAACCTCAGCTAAAAGAAGTGATATTCAAGAAGCATTGCATGAGGGATGTGCCAGTCAGTCCCCCCATTTTTCTGGGTCTGTGGTTCTTTGATGGAACCCTGAAGTCAACTGGGAAGCTTTAAGATACACATATGCCAGGGTCTCCCTCCCAAAAATTCTAATGTAATTGGCCTAGGGCATCCAGACAGTGTAAAAGACTCTCTGGTGAAACTTGAGAATTAGCTTGACTGAAGAGCATTAAAAAAAGTAGAGACCCCACTTTTAGGGGGATAATCTAAATGTGATTCTTCCAGGTAGGACTCGGGCATCAGGAACTTTTAAAAAATGTGCTAGTCATACCAGTGTACAGACAAGGTTTAATGCGATTGCTTAAAAAAAAAAAAATCTATACCTGGTAGGTTTTTGTTTACTTTTATGTAGATTTTTTTCTTTTAACTGGAATGTAGTATATGAATCCCAGTAGAGAATTGCCTTTGCTGAAATGTGCTTTGGTAAGAGACTGTCATTCTGTGTTGAGAGAGCTAGGAGAAACAATCCCACAGAACTCATTTCTGTGACTACTGAAAAGATGTTCATTATGTTACTCTATCCTCTTTATGAGGACCCTTGGGAGCAGTTTGTCGGTTAGCATTAGAAATGGTGAGCACTGGTAAAGTGTGTGGAAACAGACTGAGGTCCTCATCAGGAGCACCATGCTTCTTGGAGAGCCTGCAGAACTGTAACCAAATAACCTCTTTGCTTTATAAATTACCCAGCCTCAGATGTTCCTTCCTGGCAACACAAAAGGTCTAAGACATTATCGTAAGGTTTTTAAACATCTTACGCTGCGTATAAGACGCGGTGAAATACTAATTCAAAGCACAGACAGTCCGTAATGGTTTGACTTACAGTTTTTCAACTTTACAGTGAGTTCATTGGGACGATTAAATGCGTTTTCAACTTAAAGAAAAAATAGTGTGCTTCTCCTGAACAATTGGCTTGCTTTTGTCTTTAAGCTAGTCTAGCCGATCAAATTTCTTTGTTTACTTAAAACGAAGCTGGATGCCAAATCTGTGGCCCACCTATAGTAAGCCTAAAGATCTTCATGATATACATAGTTTAGTAATTGTGTTACTGCATCCATTTTTTTTTTTTTTGGTACCTACATTTGTTTGCTTTTGTGTTTGTTACCTACTTTGAATTGGTTGTTTTAGTGTATTTTAAGTTTTGCTGTATCTGCTTTGTTACCTCTTGAAGATGGGGTATACATAAAATAAGTAAAATTATCAAGTTAGTTTTTGCTACTATCCAGGAAGCTGAAGACCAGGAATGAGAACGAGAGTGTGTATTTGAGGTGGACACTAGTGTATGAACCAGACGTGTCGTCCATTCTTGAAAATCGGAAAACTTGCGCTCTAGACGTGATGTAACCTCGACTCCAGCCTCCTAGGAAACAGCGAAGGTCCTCTCTTGGGGAATGTGTCTGACAGGTTTCTCGGCGAGGCTGAATGGCCCTGCGGACCTTTGTGTCGGGCCCCGTGCTGACCACTGGAACTACCAGGATGGATAATTCAATCTTGCCTTTAAAGGAATTTTCAGTGTGATAAAGGAGCGAGGTACAGATATCAATTAAGGGAATATGCTGGGTGCGCTGGGAGCATAAAGGAGGTGTTTCCAAATGTCCAAAACGGAAATCAGCTTTCCACCTGTTTTGCTATCTTGGTTTTAGTTTTAGTCAAGGAATAGCTCCATCACTAGGCTCAAAATTCAAAGTAGCCTTTTTTTTTGTTGTTGTTCTTCTGTGTCTTCTTTACCTGCTGACACCCCGCCCCCAATAAAGCTTTTATCTACTCGCTTGCCAAGTCTAATTCCTGCTGCCTTAGATGAGACTTAGGCTCTCATGTAGACTATTGCTAACGTCTCAAAATGGGCTTTTCTGCATCTAGTCTGCCCATTCGACTTGTGATATATGCTGCCAGCTTTCAAACTCCTTCTGTGAAGCTCCTGGGCTAAGTAACAGGATGCTGAGTGGCCGGGGCTGTGGGTTCCCACTCCTACTTTGACTAGAGAAATTCTAGTTTTTGCCT